GTAATGTAAAATCCTGTCAATGTTGTCAGTGGAAAAGAGGGTGCATTTTCTGCAGATAAGGGGCGTTTCACATCAAGACACTTTTTATTTATTTATCTGGGGTCTTAATCTAAAATTAGACATGGCTCTGTGGATGCTTACATATATATGATTTTATTTTATTTTTCATTTACCTTTTATTTATACAGGTAGTCTCATTGAGCCACGAGAACTCATTTTCTAGAGAGACCTGTTTAGGGAGCAGATGGGCCCAGAGTGGGGCGAACAAGGGTAGGGGCAGGTGTGGGAGCTTCACCTACCCCACCCACACTTTTGATGTTGTCGGTACCAGGGCTTGAACCGGCAATCTTCCGATCACAGGCCCACCTTCTCTAACCTCTGCGCCACCACTCCCCACAAAGGCAGATGAAAAATTGGTAGGTTTGCATACAGTTAAACCAAACAGCAATAATAAAAATACAATTCTGGCTATTGATGACACGGCAAGTTTAGAATTTTTGAAAAACAGCTGATTCTACACCAAATCCTGAGCTATAGAGCATCGTATTAAACATTATTTGTTTTTCTCTCTGATCCGCAATGTCAAAAGAAAACCTAAAGTATGGGCTTATTTTGGCACAAAAAAGAAAAGGCTTGCAGTGGAGGTAAAAAAAAAAAAAAAAGGCAAAAAGAAAACAGCAAGCATCCTCAGTGGAATACATTAACAGGACAGCAAAGGCATGCTTCAGATAAACCTTTCAGATGCCTTCAGTGTCCTCCTGACTTTCAGCTCGTCTCCAAAGAGACACGTTGTGTGCCAGAGAGCATTCATCAAATTAGACCAGAGAGAAAACAATGTGAACACCCTCGGCTCTCCGCAGAGACACACCAACAGGATATCACAGAGAAGGTGTCTCTCGCTCTCGAGTGCCGCGGCAGCAGCACCGAGATTTCTCCCTGAAGAGCAACCCCTACCCCCACTCTGCCTCTACGGGCCAGCATTAAGAGGGAAACATGTATTCAGAGTAGCAGTGTACAAGTGTAGAGAATTGTAGTAAAGACACCAACTCCATATTGTAGCTATTAAGGAGTTGTGCTGGATGCTGCAAGGCAGTTGGGTATTAGCAGGGAACAGATAAGTGTTTTTAGAGTCGTAGATAACCTGGTGCTCGGTAGAATGTGACTGCTGACTAAGCCTTAGAGAGCACATGTGGAGCTCGGCTCAGCCTGGACAACTCATTATGGAGGACCATTATCAATCCTTACAGATCGAAAAGCAGCATGGCGGTACTAAAGAAAGCACCAGGGCACCTATGGCTGAGTCAGGTTGGAATTTCCTGGTCTGCATCGTCTTTGATGGTACAATTAGTGGATGAGCCACTATCAGTCAACGTGCTTCTATAACATGTATCATTATTAGTTTATATTTGTCTCTGTAGGCTTCAAAACTAAAGCATCTGAAACTACAGTGTTTACAGAGCATCAACAACGCTGTTCGCTTTCTGTGAAAACCGCAAGGTTTCACTCTATAGTGTTTCTTTTTCATCCACTTTTTCCAACTGTCTCCCCAGGTTTCCTCTGAGGAGTGAGCTCTCTGCTGCTCTGCAGAGGCAGATAAATGAGCTGTGCTGTAGGTTCACCAATGCTTCAGCACTTTACAGCTAGATTAATGATGCTTTTCAAACTCTGAGTCTTTGCTTTTAGCATTTCAGAAGTACCGCCATAAAATGAACTACAGGTACATCTTGTTTATAAGCTTATCTGTTGGGGCATCTTTCCTGTGGGTATGACAAAGCTCACATCAATAAACTCAACACTCTGTGCAGTATTTCAAGAAAACCTTGAACATTAATTATAATCTTGTGGTGTTGAGTCAAAGTCCCGGAACTATTAAATGGATCACATTAAAATGCAGTTTTATTAGAGAAGTATTGCATAGAAATAAATATATTCCAAAATTTGTGTCTCCTTTTCTGGCAAGTCAGCCAAAACTACCTGTCAGTTTTCATCATCGTTTCTAAATTGCATGGTAAGCTCCCACATACTGAAGCCTGCATTGAATTGTCACGGGTGAAAAAGAAGCCAAGCGTTGAAGCAGGATGCCATGAATTGGTAATGTTATTGGATATCAGTCAGGTCATGACCGCATGAAATGTTGACCTACACACAAATCCTGGGTGGCTGATGGATCCCCCAGTAACAAGCGCATCCATTCTAGTGTTTTATTAGAGGCTTGCACTATACACACAGTTCATGTAATGGTATGACATGTGGTTGATACTTTGATGTGGTGAAAGTTGAATTACACATCATCCCCGCTTTTATCAAATTTAGGAAATAAAATAGGATTTATTAATGCAATGCAAGTCAAATATGTTCAGTTTCTCAGTTCATCATTATCGCCAAATGGCAGGTGGTAATGTAAATGCCTGTGGCTGTGTGTGTATTTGTTTATTGTGATCATTTATCTGTTGTGTTAGCAAAATATAATAATTACCAGCAGACAGATGTTAATGAAAGTTCTCAGAAGTAGTCACTGGATGCCCATCTACAACTGGTAAGATGGAGACCTTTTGAAGTCAACCTATTTCAAGATGGCCGCTACATCTAATTGACTTTAGCCAAACAAATAAATGGTTATATTGCTGTCAATTTTACAAATATAGAACTAAAATGTGGTGTGTGTTTTTTTTTTTTTTATAGCTGTGAATCATTTTCAACACATAATCCAAGCACTATTACAATGAGTGAGCGCTTGCAATATTTCAGACATAATGAAATTTTAAAAACTTGGCAAAAATGTTACCTTGGTATTTAAAACGGTGTCATGCAAGGGCATTTCTTCAAAGAATGGTAGGCTGTTAATCCAGTTTTTACAGATGGGGAAAAATTATCAAAGTTTTAATAGTAAACTAAAGTTGCTGTCGATAAATGGGGTGGCAAACGGGGTGGCTGTGACTGAGTGGTTAGAGCAGTCGTCCTCCAATGCAAGAGTTGGGAGTTCCATTCCACCAGCAGTCACATGCCGAAGTGTCCCTGGGCAAGACACTGAACCTCTCATTGCTTCCGACTTGTGTCCCATCAGTGTATGAATGTGATAAAGCACTGATTAATCTTTGTGTAGATCTAGTAGAGTGCTGTATGAATGGGTAAATGAGGGCACAGGCTGTAGAATGAAGTGATTTGAGTATCTTGATAAGATAGAAAAGCGCTATATAAGTGCAGTCCATTTAAATGTTATTATATAATAAACAATTTCCTTGTAGGAGACAAATATTCATATTACTGGATTTCCCTTTGATATTAAAGCTTAAGGATTATGATGTAGCCTTATAACCTGTAGGAAGAGGCTGAAGCGTAAATAAGTACATATTTGCTTAGGCTATCCCAAGGGAAGTTATCCTACGTATAGTACACCCACATCACTTTGCTCCCTCCTTACTACAATAAATCTGGAGGACAGAGTTTAAAGCAGAGAGAAGAGGAGGGAGTTTTGAAGAGAGTGGGTAAGGGGGGGACAACTAGAGAGGCAGTATTGATTCCCTGATTCCCGTACCTCTGCCAGTGAGTGTAGTGTGTCAAGATCTCCTGCCAGGAAAAACAAATCACAAGGCAGAAGTGATGGATGTGGCACACCGGGATCCGGCAGTTTTGCCATCTGGACGGCCAACGCTGTATATCAGCCTCATGCACAGCAAATTAAATTTACATTTGGACGGCTTCCCCGGACTCACGCTTCACAGATGCATAAAAACCAGCCCCTCCCAGCATAACACACCTAATGGGTTTGATCTATCATTTCCAGGTCTATTATGTAAAGATGATTTTGAACCATATTCAGAAAGTCTAAATCATGTTACAGTCGCAATAAAATCTCATTACGAGCAGCCAAATGGATGTTCAGCAAAATGACATCACTTTCATTACTATAAGTTAAGTCAATGCTAATTCAACTAGCCCACGTTTTGATGCGCATTCAAACATTAGCGACATAAAAGCACAAATTCAATTAAGGGCAATGTCCGTTTTTGTTTTGGGGAACTTTTGTTTCTAGAATTGTTTGGCTGTCACACATGTAAGCCCTAAAGTATGACGATCTGTACTCAATAAATGTTACCAAACATGATTCAGAAGATTACGTTTTTTGTGTAACAATAAAAAAATACAAGTATAAGGCAAGATATACTGTATAGCAGCAGCTTATTCTGTTTAACAGCACTTTAAACCAAATATCTAACCCGGCCCTGAAGAGGCTGCCATGCTTAAATGAAATGACCTTTAACGCAGAGCTGATCAAATGGCCTGAGGCAAGACTATAAAAGAACATTGCAGTATAATGTTTTACAGTGTACTTTTTTCTAGTGTGCTATTTGCCCTTTCCCTCTTTTTCCAAGACGGTAAAATGGATTGTGTTTGGCAGGTGAGGAAGTGTCCTGAAAGCAGTCTAATATGGATTTGGTATAGGAGTAGATGTGGCAGCAGAATAAAGATTTTGGTTTATTTTGTATGCTCATTCTGTAAAAGAGACTCAAATTGAAAGAAAGAAGAAAAATATGGATTTAAATCCTTTGCTGCTTCATCCTTTTGTTCTTTTTTTTTAAGCTTTCATGGCCCGTTGTCCTCTAAATGTCAGAGGTGGTTTTTGATGGCTCTTAACAATCCCTTAAAGGGCTTTGCAAAGCCGCAGACTGAAACACAAATTGAGCATGTGAGTTGACAATTGTGCTGTGAACCTGAGCCTCCCCTGTTCCTCAATAATCTGATCTCATTTCGCCAAAGATGCTGTTGCCTGAAAAGCAATGTAGCAGCTGCTTCTGCACCAAGCATCGAGTGTTCGTGTTGACAGATGAATCCAGGAGCCAAATAGTGTAGCTGTCTGGATTCACATGCCATCTGCCCACCTCTCCTTAACCTAAACCTCTAGAAATGGTAGTTCTGAGTGGGAATCTTCTTACCTCATTGATGCAGCTAAAGCATTTCTTGCTCTCACCTCTTCACTGTGTGTCTCCCTCTTCTTGCAGACTACTGATGACTTGCTGGTGGCTTCAGCTGAGTGTCCAAGCGATGATGAGGACATTGATCCCTGTGGTGAGCCGAGCTCAGGTGGGTTAGGTTAGTCATCTCTTTTTTTATTCTACTTCTCCTTTGGTGTGTCAGTGTGTCTTTGTGTGTCATAGTCTACCCCCACCTAGACACCACAGGCTAACTCACAGTGGCTAAATGAGCATATTACAGCTGTAGCTAAAGCCTAAATACTTCACAGAGTAGTCATTTCGTTGTCTGGCTTGTACTCGGTTTTCAGTCTGAGGAGCTTAAAACAGGTAAAAACCCTGTTTTGGGTAGATTTTATAAATCATAAAACAAAATAAAATTAAAGAAACATTGGAAGGAATAAAAATTATTTTATTATAGCTGTGAGCATAATATTGTATTATATATTTATCGTAATACCAAACATATGAGATGGCATATACACTGGCAGTGAATGTTACCTTAACTGAGCCTGGATACAAAACAATATGCCGTTTGTTTTGGACAGATACATCTATCAAACTGTTAAAAAGACCAACAAACATCTGCCCACGTTTTTGTCGGTTTTATATGGTTGTAAAATTTTGCACACATACATGCAATGCCAGCGTTAATTTATAATTGACAAAACTCAATAACGTAATTGGAAATTAAAAAAAGAAAGCTGCCTGATTAAATTTTTGTTATATTAAATTTAATTATTTAACTGAATTTGGACATGCATGTCTAAAAACATGGTTGTTGCCTGCACCCCTGCTTCCCACTGCATTTTTTTTAAGAATCTTAATAATAATACTAATTATTATTATTATAATTATTATTATTTATTTATATAGCCCTTAAAAACAACCACAGCTGCCACAAAGTTCTGTACATATAAAATCAATCAGTCTGAGTGACAATCTGAGAGCTTGGATGGTCTTTTATAAAGAAAGATAGATAGATAGATAGATAGATAGATAGATAGATAGATAGATAGATAGATAGATAGATAGATAGATAGATAGATAGATAGATAGATAGATTGATAGATAGATAGATAGATAGATAGATAGATAGATAGATAGATAGATAGATAGATAGATAGATAGATAGATAGATAGATAGATAGATAGATAGATACTTTATAAATACATACTTTATAAATACATACTTTATAAATACAT